CATACTACTATCTAAACTAGTTTCTACTCTAATTTAACTAATTAGTATATTTAAGCGAAAACCTAAAGGAAAAAAAAGCACTTCAATGTCAACACTGTACTCTAGCACTATAAGCTTTCCAGCTTCTTTTGTTTAAACTTCTATAGAAACGTAAACAAAAGCATGCTTTGAGCACTATAGAGAAGTCAAAAATTCGCACAGTAGGTCTCGAAGTATTGTTTGTTCAGGTTGCCACTTCTGAAGCATGTAATCCAGATGTCCATGCTTCATTTGAATCCACATGTTTGTTGTGATGGGTAAAAAGTAAACAATGTTGACCGATTTGATAAGTAAACAATATATCGATCTTTTGAAGGGAGTAAGCTAAATCGTCCACTTTTTTACAAAATTTGCCCTGAAAAAAAAGTAAAGAATCAATGAAAATATGTGAGGTCTTCTTGTAGGTTTTACAGTTGTATAGTCTAATTTCCAAATATCTACTTGATATTCTTGCTCAGAGACTTTGCTCTACTTGCTCCTAGAATAAACCTTCTAGTTTGGATGCCAAACATGCAAGAGAATCTGTTGAAGAAAGAAAAACTTGACCCAAGGCACAAACCCGCCTAATATTCTTATATGCCCATTCCTCGGTGTTTTATGTATTGTAGGCTTTGTCGACAAGTTTGCTTAACACAAAACCAAGAATATTACTGTGTCTACTATGTTGCTTTCCTATATCACTGACTGTAGTTTGGTAAATTGTTGTTAACCAAGTGATCGTTAGAAAGAGTTGTGAGTAATAATGCATATTATAAATTTAGTTAAAAATAACTATATTATACAATATAATTTATATTCAATCAATATACAAAAATCTTTATATAAAAATATAAAAAACACAACATACTAATTCTGATTTGATGTATAAATACATTCTAACTACATACTGATGCAGTAAATAAGTTGTATAAAAAGTAGTTTAGTAGAAGATTGCCAAGGCTATAAACCTCAACTATTAAAAAAACAAAATAAAAAAAATTTTGCTCAGAATTTAATAATATAAAAAAGAGAGTATAAGCCCAATACTAGCAGACAAAGTTGGTTAAAACCATCACCAAGCTAAAAAATATACTGTGAAGAATATGAAGGCCTAGGCCCCAACAGAAGATTCACCTGCTTGGAAGTTGCACCAAATAGATATAAGATGCAAAAAAGATCAAAAACAATTATAGTTCTAGTATAGAAAAATCCAAAATATACAGGATTAGAATATACTTGGTGGTCTGTATCTGAAAATAAATTAGTTCTAAACTGTAGCCTAAAATTGTAAAAATACCGATGTATTCAGTAAAATGTAATAATTGGAAATATACAATAATAAAGTTAATGGTTAAAGATACCGTCTTAAAAAAAAATATTCAGAATATATAATTAAATGTTTTTAAATCAATATATTAATTTTTTGAAGCTTGAATATACTATAAACATTTTACATTTAAACATTAAGCATGATCAAAAAGTCTTAACATAGTAAACATTACCACTAATAATTAGTAATAATAATCTTAATAATAAATTCTATTGGCTAAATTTTGAAATTACTCTAATTCTAACCAATAGAAAATTTCATATTCTTATTATAATCTAGTAAAAATTTTAAACTATAATTTTAATTCAAACCAACAACATAATATATGGTATGTGTTAGTCAGCATTATAGTTAGGTTTATTAAAAAATTTTGATATTATCGCAGTCCTTATAAATAAGGTACGTGTATATGAAATAATAATTTTAAAGAAAAAAAATATACACAAAATAAACAGTTAAAAATATTTACAAGAAAGTTAAAGTTCATTTAGTCAACGAACTATCATCGTCTTCCTTTAAGAATTCCTCAAAATCATGTACAAATTCTTCATCTTCCGAGTCATCTTCCTCCTCTTCTTCGTCATCACTTTGATTTCCAGCATCATAATCATAACCATATTCATCATCTTGTTCATCGTCTACCTGATGTTCTGAATGCTGGTAATAATTTTCTGATGAATCAAAATATGTGATAGACTCTCCATCTGTGCCAAGCACTTGAACATTTATATTAGAGTCTTCGTCGTCGTCATCATCATCATCATCATCACCAAATGTTATAGAATGTCGCAGTGGGGAATGTTTAAGACGTTTAGCATTTTGTTCGTAAATATTTATTTCATCACTATTCCGTTTTAACTTTATACGTCCGTTGCTAAAAGAAGGCGAAATTAAATATAAACTATAAACCAAAAAAAAGCTTTAATAAAAAGGTTTAAACCTTTCAGTCCCACTTTCAGTTTCACTTTCGTCTAGAGCGCTTGTTGTATCCCCCCAATCACCAATTTCTTCCTCGACTTCATTTAAGACAGACTTCCAATCAGTCGATAAAAAATGTTCTTGACGTTCCTGTGGACTTAGTAACCCTTCATCATCAGTAATTTCATTAACAGGTGTTTCAACGATCAAATCAGGAGGTTTCTCTATTTCAGACACTTGCTCTGATTCCGATTCTCGTATAGATGCATCAAAAGAATAATCACGTTCGGGTTGTCTCTCCCATTTTTTTATAGAATCATCCAACCTATTGAAAACAAAATTATGAGATATCAAAACATAAAAAAAAATTATTTATTTCAAATATTTAAATTACGTGCCATTCTCTGCGCACGATGAATATATTGCCTCTTCGAACTGCTTCTTTTACTTTCTCAGTTCCACGCTATATGTTTATGCGAGAATAGTTGAGTTTATGTTAAAGAAATTACACTAGAAAATCAGAATCTGATGAGGGTCCGAAGCGAAAAATCTAGGACATGTATCATTTCATCGACAATCGCTTCACCGAACATCCCATCACACAGGACGATGATTAATATTTAACGATTGATGATTAATAATCATTCCAATATACTCCTTACGCTGTGTGATGGGGTGCTCGGCGAAGTGATTGTCGATGAAATGATACGTATCCAAAAATCTATATAGTACAAATTGTTGTACATTACTACGGTGTAACACGTAGACTGAATTCTATTGGACTAAACCACCTAACATCGCATCAGTTTTCCTAGAATGTTACGGACCTCGCTACGCTTCGGACAATAAAACTTACATCACCTGCCACCAAATGGGTGACATTACTATTCCAATTTTCAGAACACTCTGCACCAAATTCTTTGGCCAAAATCCATATTTCAGCACTGGATTTTATAATTAGTATAATGTTAAATAATCATAACATCCCAAAGTTACGCAAAAAAAATGGATATAAGATATGGAATAAATAAACCTTTCTTTCTTTTGACTAGTTGGAATAACGTGCGTGAACAATATATTAACACCTTTCAAAACTTCAGCTTTCATACTAGGTACTAGTAGGGTTACATCTGGCATCTTTGATTTTCCATTCGTTTGTAAATAATTTTGCATTCGATCATATTCTTCGTAATACCGTTTATGAATCGCTTTCAATGCCTGAGGGTTATAAATAATAATATTAAAAATATATATATATATATATAAGATTTCTTTAACAAATAACTTAATGAAGGAAAT